TTTCCCCCAGACTGGGGTGCTCAACGTTGGTTACAGATTTCGGTGCAAGCCCGCATGCAAAATGCCATGCATGCGCACACAAGTCTACTCTGAATCCCACTATCTTGGATGACTTCCCATCACAGTTTACAACCCTCCCAGAATCTGATTTACACCCACTAGATCTTAGCTTTTGGTATAAAAAAATATTTTTTTCACAAGCCTTGTGAAGATAGCTCTCATGTGAGCTGGTTGGAATTCTGATTGAGGTGTTAATTTAGGACTGGGGAGGGCTTAAAGGTGAACATCAAGTCCAAAAAAAACCCATACAACTTCAAGTCATGTGTTTGAAAAACACAAGTGCATGATAGTTTCCAAAAACGTTGCAGGTATTGGGCAGTTAAGCCTCTAGCTTATAATTATTTCCAGGAAAAAATTACATGGTGCCAAATGTAGGGTGTGTGAGATCTGGAATGATAAAATTTCTGCATCCTCAAAAAGATGGAAGAGTTGAGTTCAGGAGGTCAGCTTGAATAAACCTGACTGGGCAAAAGCTGTAGGGAGCATCTCCATTTGACTTTCCTTGGCTGGAAGCATGTTTGATGCAATATGGAGCTCAAGATGTGTGTTTTGGAAGTGGTGGGAGTGAAGTCCCTTGCAGAGTCTTTCCCTTTATAACCATGTCACCCGCCCTCGCCAGGAAGGTCCCCTGGTCCTCGCCCGCCGAGTTTATCGGCCTCTTCGACCTGCTCTTCTCCTCGGCCGACCCGCTCGCCAGCCAGCCCATCGCACTCAACCACCTCTACGCCTGGTCCATCCGCTCGCCCTCCAGTCTCCCCCCGGCCATCGAGGCCACCCATGCATTGCTCTCCCTCATCCTCCCCCCCACGCCCAATGTCCAGCAGCAACGGCTCGGCCTCGCCATGGCCCTCTCCCGGCTCGTCAACAGTCTCGTAGACCCCCTCCAGAAGGGCATGTATGCCCGGAGCATCTCCCAGATCGCTGCCGAACTCGGCCTCCCGCTGGCCTTGGTCCAACTCCGCCATCGAGCCACTCACGAAGACTTGCCTAGTCTTACCATCCTACTCCAGTCCGCTAACCTGGTGAGCATCTCTACTCGATCATACATTTTCAGCCCCCAGATCGTATTTCTAAAATCTAAAAAAATCGAGCGATTTCACAGGCTCTCGATTGGCTTTATACCCACTACTGGCTCCCAAGGCTAAACGACATCGAAGGGAAGGGTCATTTGAAGCTAGAGACGATCGGCTTACTCGAAGGATTACTGATCTCATTCAAACGGGCCAGGAAGCGGGCCATCCTCGACACCACCCAAGTCGACTTCCTCCAATTCCTCCCTCAAATCGACCACTGGATCGGCGCGGCTGCTCGGGAACTGAGTGGCGATGGAAGTCAGAGCAGACTCGCCGAGGACGACGGCCAAGCCGACCATCGTCCGTTGGTGGCACTTTGCTCAGTATTGGTCGAGCGTCAGGTGCTCGTCCCACAAGCCGTCAAGTGAGTCTGTTATTATATGTCACTGTGATCAGCGATCTTCCGCTAATGTGTTTTCCCTTTGGTTTGACTACTTCAGGAAGCGTTGTCAATCATCCAAAGATCCGTTGCCCGAACCTTTGAAGGATCTGTACGAGCCCTTAATCGATCATCTCGCGCAATCCCATCCACAAGTCTTCATCCGCTCACTCGTCATGAGCCTCTTGGACACACTCTCTGCGCTTCCTGATGGGACCAGTACCAGTAAACAAGCAGACGCGACCTACTACAATACCTGTGCTTCTTGGCTGGTGTATCTCTTACTCCGGGCCGATGGTGGACCTATTGGGCCAGAGGCGCTCAGAATTCTGTTGATCAAACCAAACCAATAGTCAGTTGTTTATACCTTGTCTTTTTGATGAACGTTAAGCGGTTTGACCGGAGAATGTGGGCTAAAAGAGTTCTTTTTGATGTTCACAGTACACTCTCGGTTGTCGAAAGGTTAAAGGAAGCCAAGCAATCGGACTGGTATGATGAGAAGACGCTTTCGCCTCTGATTGATCTACTTCAGAAGACTCGAGACGACCAAAGGAACGACATGGACGAGGGATGTATGTCGGAGGAGCCGATTGAGGATCGGATCGCGGCGATGAAGCAGAGATGGGAGTGTCTGGTCGCCAAAGATGAAGAGCCGGTCGTCCAAGAAGGCTCCTCTTGGAATCTCGTCCCCGAGGCTAATTGGGTCCCTTGTCCTATCGGCTGTCTTCCTGATCGCACGGTCCCTGACCTCTACAAATCTCTCTTATTTTCCTAACTCTTCCACCTTTATTTGCTTCGAGTCTCTCCATCCAATTCAAGAAGACATGTAGTCCCACAGATAAAAATTATTATGAGCAGTCATGAACAAAATAAGGAACTCCACCTAGTCAGTATCCTCCCAGGAAGCGTTACAGGCTTACCTAGTGATGGTGAATTAAGATGAGATCACAATATCCATCACACCTACAAAATTTAGATCCACAAGAATCAAGGCAGGAGGCAAACTAAAGCCTGTACAGCACCATGGTAATCACGGGACTGGCTGTGTGGGCAGGTGTCATGCTGTGGGTATCTTAATTGTTCTGGATGACAGGAGTGCAGAGAGAGAGTTGGTTCAAGACTCAAGTTGTGCCAACCTGTTGAAACTCGAAAGTGAGCTTTGAGCTGTCCTTTGATGCTATGCCTGTTTGGGACCCCCGAAGCTCCACGGGGGATACCCGTGCTCGTTGGTGTGTTATGCTGACCCAATGGGTTGGGTTTGTTTAATTTCTTGGGATGATAATTCCCCCTGGATAGAACTCTATAGCCGGATCATTGACGATTGGATCGGTCTTCTGCGGTCAACAAGGTTTCGTCCATCCCTTTTCCCCTGATATCTATCTGTTAGTTCTGGACAAGCGCATGATAAGCCTACTGAAATTTTTGGGCGTTTGATATGTTTGAATTAGAAACTCACGATTGACACGTACTCGAAGCCACACACAATCTTTTTTTTGGCGAATTCTGGATAGATCTTCCTTATCTGTCGCATCAAAAAAAGGCCCACCAGAATCTACCTCATTTTCAAAAAAAAAGAGAGAGAGAACTTGAAGCGGATCGTGATAACCTGAAGAAAAGGACCGGATGTCGACTTATTCTGAGGACCCAAGTGATGATGAACAGGTTGACTGGGAAGAGGTGGACGTGGAAGAAATTCATGGTGGGCGACTGGACTCAGAAGATACCACTGGCAAGGTTGGATTTGATCTCGTTCTATCGAAGGCTGGAGAACAACGATCTACCAAGTTAAATCCTCATTCTTCCCATAAACAACTCACACCTTTCCGGGCCCCATCAGAACAACAGCGATTATCTGACTAGTACTACTCCATCGGTTCTTGATCTAACAGGAAACGTAGCGCCAATAGCGCCTTGGAGCGACAAATTCGCCATGAAGTCCATCGCATGCACACCATCACCCTGCTTACTGCTGGCGTCTTGAGAAATCAACTATTGAATGATCCGCTACTCAAAGTGAGCTTTTGATCAAATTTTCTCTTTCCCCCTTCAGTCAAATCGTTTACTTTCTCGTTATCTCTGTAACAATTTTTTTAACGCGGCAGGCACGTCTTCTGTCATTGGTCCCACTCCCACTAGTCAATGCTTTCCACACTTTCACCCCAGAGACTCACCCGCTCGATCGAGATCGTTCCCGGTTGTTTGACTCGGCCTTGAAAGATTTGATCTCATGGTGGTGGCAATCATTCCAGGTCAATAATTCTTTTGAGGGTATGATCTCACGGAGCTGGTCGGATGCAGAAGTGTTATATCAGAACTCTGACGACGTTACTGGAAAGGGAAAAGCGAAAGGGAATCACCCAGAAGACCAGTTTTTACAACTTCTAGAATCTGGAGAACCTATACATGGTGTTAAAAGCTTGATGAAGCGTGCGCTGTTGATGAAGGGCTCCAGAGATATGTCCGCTCAGCTCTTTACCAGCTGTCTCAGAGCTCTAGATATCCCCGCAAGATTAGTCTTCAGTCTTCAACCAGTTACTTGGCGAGGTGCCGGCGCTGGAGGCAAGTCTGCAAATCCCGCGGCTACCACCCAGGAAGAAACTGTCACTGGCGGATCCAAGTCAGAAAATAGGATCAATTCCGGAGTAAATCCTACTAAACCGAAATCAAGGACAGCACAAAACGCGAAAAGCAAGTCAAAACGAGGTGAATATGCCACCAAGGCCGAAAAAGCTGCCAAAGCCATCAAAGCTAAATCTGTCCGGATTGATAATCAAACCCAAAGTCTCCGTGGAACCGATGAGGGAGAAGATGAAGAAGGGGACCTCAACTCACAAGTCGAAACTGTGCCAGTAGCGAGCTCGTCAAGACATTCACCAGTCATCAAGTTGCGCAAGTCCAGACCACCCACCAAATCGAGGAATTGGGCCAAGAGTCCGAGTCCCGAACCGCAAGAGATGAATCGAACGCCAGTCTTCTGGACCGAAGTTTACTCTAGGCCGATGAAAGAATGGTATTGCGTCGACGTGACAAGAAAGAAGATGCGCTGTAAGAATATTATGGAGCCCAGTAGGAATAATCCTGAGAACAAGATGATTTATGTCATCGCATATGAAGAGGGTATGTGTCTTCCTTTGTTTTTGTCTGCGAGCTTACGATTCCTTGAACCTTGCTACTAAACAGCCGTGTTCCTGATGTTTCTCAGATAATTTCATCAGGGATGTCACGGCTAGATATGCCCATTCATTCGGCGCAACCACAATGAAGGCAAGATTACCTTCCAAAAAGAATGAGGAAGATTGGTTTGAACGCGCCGCTGCGATACTCAAACGTCCTTATAAATTGGTCAGTCAGCTATCTGTACGATCGGTATGTTGATTGGTTTTGTTGATTGTCATCTCTCGTTGGACAGGGTCGGGATATCAAAGAAGATACTGAAATAGAAAAGGCGCGGGTTACTGAGGCAATGCCAACAACTGTAACTGGCTTCAAGAACCACCCAAAGTGAGTGATTTCATGACAGCTGGGATGTGCCGTAAGCATTCACTGACTATCTCTCTTTGCATGGCGTCCTAATGTCTACTAATAGGTACGCCCTGGAGCGCCATCTGAGGCGAGAAGAAGTGATCTACCCCAAGAGGCCTATTGGTACTTTTCGGGGAGATAGCGTGTATCCTCGTTCCTCCGTCATCGTCTGTAAGAGCACTGAGACTTACATGCGAGAGGGGAAAAGAGTCAAGGGAGGGGAAAATCCGTTGAAGATGGTCAAGCCTCGAGCGGTGACGATCAACCGTAAACGAGAGACAGAGCTTCTCAAAATGGACGGCCAGCCCGTCCCGTTACAAGGCTTGTTTGCAGAATGGCAAACAGAGCTATTGATTCCACCTCCTATTGTTGATGTGAGCTTTTTGGCTCTCGCACTCATTCCTCGAATTTCCCAGTCCATCTTTGCTTATCATTGATCCACTTCAACCACATCAACTCCAGGGCGTAATCCCGCGTAACGGGTATGGCAACTTCGATCTTTTTGCTCCTCACATGCTACCCCAGGGGGCAAAACATTTACCTTGTCAGTATCACCCACCACATGGCAATTTGGATATCTTCCCGGACTGATCGTTTAGGTTTTTTTTTTTTTGCTTAATCCAGATAAAGGGATTGCTAAAACAGCCAAAAAGCTTAAGGTTTCGTACGCCGATGCTGTGGTAAGTGAGCGCTACACATACAAGTTTTTTTTCGATGGTTTATTCAAATTATCTGCCCACGCTCTCAGGTATCGTTCGAATTCCATAGAAGTCGTGCTATGCCTTTGATCGATGGTATAATTGTTCCTGAGTTGGATGCAGAATTTGTTTTGGATGTACGCCCCCCCCCCCCTCCTCATTACAACTGTGATCTTGCAAAGATAGATTAATTATATTGAATACAATTTCGGCGTGGACCTCGATCGCATATCAATAATACATTTTACTAGGCTTACTGGACTTCTGAAGAAGCGCAGGAAGTCAAAGAGTTTGAAAAATTGGAAGAAAGGTGCTTGAAAAGGTGGAAAAAATTGATCATCGGCCTTCGTATACGGCAGCGACTTCAACGGGAGTATGGGCCTCAAGCCACGCAAATTTCGGATTCGCAACAGCTTACTAAAGAGCCCAGTAATGTAATACGACCCCGTCTTTTTCAAAAGAAAAAGAGAAAATTCTGCCTGACATCTAATTAAAACCTCTGTTATTGCAGTCGAGGAAGACGAATTCTCAGCAGACATCCACTTCCGCCAATCAGCCCTCTATCGTGGCTTTGACCCCAGATTCAAAATTGCCGTTCGAGTTATACACTGACCATCAAATGAACCCCATGATAGTCCCGCAAGCGGATCATGATGGCGATCACATCCCGAGCAAAGACCTCAGGCATTCAGAACCGGCAGATTTGGAAGAGCCGACGGTAGCGGATGTATTTTGTCCGCGATCAGGCAAAGCCGTAGAATCAGAGACTCTCCCATGCTCACCAAGCTTGACCAAAGAGTGTGAAGATTCGCCGGAGATTGATACCCCTCGGAAGACCCGACAATCAACAAGGGTTTCAAGAACAGCTCAACCAATCAAACTCGCGAATAGTTCTAAGGGTATCAAACGGAAAAGCGCATCTGAGCATGCGCTGGGCCTGACAAAACAAACACCCTCGAAGACCGGATCGCGGAGTCGCCAGACTCGACGGAACGGCAGTATCCACTCGATCGATCAGGATCCATATGATTCCAGTCCCTTGACTTCACCACCTTCGGCGAGTGAACACTCTGATTATAGCGCGATCTTGAGTCCGCCCAAACGGGCGAAAGTCAACCAAAAGTCCCCGAAGGAACTGTCGGTGATCCCGCGGGAATCTTCGCCCGAAGACACCCCAGACAAGAACCCTAGAGCCTCTACAAGGCCAACCAGACGTGCGGCCGTCAAGGCTAACGAAAACATCAGCTTGACTTCCGCTGCTCAAGGTTCCAAAAGAATCCTCCGAAGTCGCAAATAATCTGTAGCTACACTCCTCGTCTTTCCAAACGTTGTACTACTGTTGTTACTGTTGCTTGGGCTGCGAACTCTTACATTCATGTCGTGGTTTATTTAATGTTTCTTCGAGTTGGGGCTCCCGGATCCTGAGATTCTTCATTGGCTGAGTGATTCTAATTAAACTTTGACTTACGCCCGGACGAGTCCACAGTGTATATTTGTAGATCGCCAAGCAGAAAGCAGAAAATTGATCAGAGATGTAATGTCACTCATTGAGCTACTGTCTCTCACAATTGTTACTCAACATCGAAGAAAAAAAATTCTGGCTTCCTGTATACTTGTCTAGGCTTTATTT